TTAAACATTAACTAAATATTTTAGGGAGCAAATTAACAAAATTAATACAATGAAGACTAAATTATGAAAATATGCATATTTCATGAACTAAAAGTACTATTAACCCTAAATTATAATATATTTATTTATAATATATATTTTAAAAGAATATTAAAATTCTAAAATTCAAGTTTTACTTAAAAATACAATGTTATTTTTTTTTTTTTATAGAAACTCTTAATTATAAAACATAAAAAGGTTACAATGATTGAAGAATTATGTTGATTTAACATAAATTAGATTTAAAAAATATATAAAATATTATTTTTTATCTTAAAAATAAAATGGTTGAAATTTTGGATAAAAAAAAATACACATATGTAAACATAGTGCTATCTTTATATTTGAAATGAGTTATATTATATTGATTAATTTTTTGAACGTTTTATTGAAAATTATAATAATGCATATATTTTATAAATGTAACATAACCAATTAAATTTTTTTTATAGATATTGATATTTATACACCGTAAATATAGCATTAAAAAACAAATGTTAGGGATAATTTAGAATTTTAAACACTTAAATATATGATGTTAATTTAGATATTCAATTACGGAAGGATAGTGTGGTATTTAAAATTATTTATAAGAGTAAAATAGAATCAATAAAATTTTATACTAAGGCAAAAGTTTCTCTTTTTTAGTAGTATAGATGGAAAAAAAATACATATATATAGACATAATGTTATCTTTATATTTGAAAAGAGTAATGAAATATTGATCATGTTTTTGAACACTTGATTAAAAACTATAATGATGCATATATTTTTTTAAGAGTAACGTAGTAAATTAAAATTTTTCATAGATATTAATATTTATACAAATATAATAAAGAATTAAAAGAGATATTAGAGGGTAATTTAGAAATTTAAATACATAAGGATGTAATTATAATTTAGATATTTGACTATGAAAAGATAGTATAGTATTTAAAATTTTTTATGAGGGCAAAATAGTGAATCAATTTTTTTTTACTTAAGGTACTTTTATTATTTATATATACAAAGATAGTAAATAATTAAAAGAGATATTAGAGTGTAATTTAGAAATTTAAATACATAAGGATGTAATTGTAATTTAGATATTTGACTATGAAAAGATAGTATAATATTTAAAATTTTTTATGAGGGCAAAATAGTGAATCAATTTTTTTTCATTTAAGGTACTTTTATTAGTAGTAGAGATATATATAGATATGTATTTTTACAAAGTTTGAAATAAGAAGGGAAGACGTAGCATTGTAAATTTTTGTGTTTATTTTCTTTTTCTTTTTTGGAACATTGCTTCACTTATCTTCAGTAACTTTCACTGCATTGAATATTTACTTATTTCTCTGCGCCTTTTCTCTCCATCTCTGTACAACGATCGCACACCGCCAGGACAGTGGCCACACCCTAGGCGATGTAAGCCACTGCCTCCACTCCTCTCCATCGCCTACGCACGCCTCTGTCATCCGCCCACCATTCCTCTTGCTATCTCGTTTGTGCATCACTCCTTACTCGCTTTCTTTATTGTCCCTTCACTTCGAATCCTAGGTACTGTTCCTTTTTCCCTGTAAGTAAAACTCTCAAATTTCAGATTCCCCTTAATGTTGTTAGGCTTTTGATTTTGTTCTTTTGTCTCATCTCTGTTAACACAAAAAAAATTCAAAATACTTTCTTCAAAGGTGGAGAGGATTTGTGGTTATTTTTTGTTTTCATGTTCTAGACTTGATTTGTTGGAATTAATCTTCGTTGATCTACTTCATTTTGATAGATCTCCGTCTACGAACATGAAAAGAAAAAGTCAGTTTTCTTGATTTGGGGAATTTGTTTAGCTCTGACAATTAAGCAATTGATCTTTGTTCAGTTTGAATTGGTCAAAAAACTAAACCGGTTTCAAAATTGTAGTTAAGTTTATTTCTTTTGTTTGCTAAATTTTCATTTGCTAATTCTTTATTATGGGGTTTTCTTTAGGGCTAATCATAACTTGCACGCTTGGACCGGGGTTTTCTTTTGGCACGCTTGGATCGGACATCACATTTAAAGTTTAAAAATATCAATTTACGTCTATGTGAATAAGATTAATTGCCATTCATTTTGCTTTTAAAAAAATTTAGACTAATTATAAATTATACCTTTAAAGTTTAAATATTTTATTTTTATGATCTAAAAAGAATTTCTTCTATTAATGATCATTAAATAGTTGTCAATTGTATTGTATTATAATATTTTTCGTATTATGTTTGAGTCAATAAAAAAATATTTTTAAAATTTTAAAAAATTTATAAAATACTTATTTTTTGCTTACAATACTTGTTAAGTAGCTATTTTTTTGTCTATAGTTAGACACGAATCTTTTGATTGTTCGATCAAATTAAAATTAGATATCGATAGCACAACTGTAGACAAAAAATAGTTATTGAATGAGTATTGTAGACAAAAAATAAATATTTTTATAATTTATAAAAAATATTAAATAGTATTATATAAATTTTCGTAAATATGAAATATACAACACAATGTAATTGACTCGACACGAAAATATATAGTGTTAAAAGTATTTTTTTATCGATTCAAACACAATACGGAAATGATACGACATGACACAAAATAAAATGATAGACACAATTGAGAGAATGCATGTCGTGAATGCTCATTAGACCATTCAAGTTGTGAATGTATGTCGAAATCTGTTTGGGGTCTAATTTTAGGCTACTCTTAGGCTGAAGGCACGAACAATTACTAATAATCAATATGAGTAATGCTATAAGAAGTTAATTTGGAGATCTAATTCAATGCACTCATTAAATTAGTTGTTGTAAGTTATAATGTCAAATGAAACTCACTTTCAATCTAATAATTGCATTGAATTAGGTCTCCATATTTGATTTTCAAATTACATTCAAATAGCATTTCCCATCCAATATTGGTTAAAGCCAACAAGATTCAATTGAAAAATGGTTGAAGAGGTATAAGGTTGAATTTCCAAGTTTTAAATAAAATTTTTTTATAAATAACAGTACAAAAAGAATTGATTCATTCAGCTAATGAACCAGAATAAAATTAAACTATAAATTTTTTAAAAATATTATGGCATTTTTATGCTTAAAAAGACCATTTTTGCGGGCATGAGAAAAAAAAAAGATTTTTCTTTTATTTTTGGTCATGTCAAGTAATATACCTTCTGAAAAAAAAAACTCAAAGAGTAATTTTTTCCTAGGTAACTGGATAGGTGAGACCGAGAATTACTTAAAAATTCCTAACCTAAATCAATTTTTAGAAGTGGAACCAAATTATAAGTCTTAGCACAATTTTCTAATCGCATGTGAAATCAACACAAAATTATTACGTATGAGTTTGTTCTTACAACCTTTGGATTATACCAGCATTGGCTGACTGGTTGTTCATGGGTCGGGCTGGGTTAGGCCTGAAATTTTTTTCAGTTCAAGCCTGAATAATATAAGTCTAAACCCTTACTTAATTGAGTTATCGAACGGCCAGACCAAGCATTGAGTAGAGGTAGGTTATTCGCAGTCCAACCCGTGAGTCCATTGGGTGGGCTTACTTGCAAATTTTTTTATAAACAATTTCATTTAAAAATAATAACTTTTTTTTTTTAATTTATCAAATTATGTGTAGACCATTATAAGGTACTGTCATAATAAAGATGTTCAATGTTATAACGTGGTATCACATAATTTTTTTTTTTTAGTAATTTAAGCATCTAAAATATATTAAACATTACATACGTATTATTTAATACACATACTATCTGCATACAATTGTTTAATAGTATAATTCATAGGAATTGTAAAAATATAGATGATCTTGACTAACTAGTAACTACACATTTTTTAGCAAACAAGTTTGCGCATCTGTTTATTTTTCTTATCACTTGTTTGACCGCACTTTTTATTATATTGTTTCATTACTGTTTTTATGTTCTTTTTATTTGTTTTGTATTTTGTTCATATAAATTAGGGTATTACATGATTGACTATCAATATATATTTGTAATTCCTTATTATTGAATTATTTTACTATTTTTTTATTATCCTTAAATTATATATGTATGCCACGTTCATCTGCTATCTTATTATGTTTTATTTTTTTTGATAATAAGTTTATTGAATTTTTTTTGATATTAATTACTTTTTATTGTGAATCTTTTATGAAAATAAATAATTTAATTAGTTGGTATTTTTATATTTAAATGGGAACAAAATCAAATTTAAGAAAAATAGAAAATGTGTTTGATTTATTTTTATTTATAGAAGAGATATGCTTATTATATATTTTTATTAAAGTGTTAATCCTTTTTTTTTGTTATTTAAAATGTGTATGTGTGAGGCGGACTATACTATTTCGACCTAAATTTTAAATTTTATTTTGTTGACTTAATCTTTCAAGTAGGGATGCTCAAATTTTTCCATACCCGACCAATTTCGATCCTACCCAACCAGACTGATTAGCTTCCATAAAAATCACTGGCTAATGAAAGAATTTTTGTTTTTCGGGGAGGAATGCGAAATTTTCACAAAAATTTTGCATTCATATCCGACCCATTCGACCCATGTGCATAATTTTTTTAAAAAATATATACATGTTAATTTGTGCCACAAAAATCCTAAAATTCCTAGCGCATCCTCCTCCTCCTCCTCCGAGTCTCAGAGGCTCTCGCCTCTTTCTTCTTCTTCTTCTCAGTCGATTGATCCCTAGCGCCTCCTCCTCTTCGAGTCTCAGATACTCTCGCCTCTCTCGCCGCCTTTTCTTCGAAGCCACAAGCCACACGCATCCCAGGTTCTCTCTCTCTCTGTATGACAGTCTATGTGTGAGTCTTAATTCCTTTTGTTTTTCTGAAATTGAAATCATATGATGAGAGTTGCAGGAGTTTTTTTTGTTAAGCTAAATTATAATGAGTTTTAATCATTCATCTATATCTCATTATTGAACTCTAAAATTTGGGGCCAGGGTTTAAAGCCCATGCTTTTTGAATATACTGTTGAGCCGGCCGTGTATTATTCCCCGGTGGGTAAAAATTAAGATATTTTAAGTCAGTTGCCTTCATGTGACAGGTAATTACTTCTTAGTAAAATATTCTGTGCGTGTGCGTGTGTGAGTTTCATGAAGGATTCCCACATTCGTTTTTCCAATTTTTATTTCATTTTTCCAATTCTTATTTCATTTTTGTTCTCGATGACATGTCTATTTTAAACAGCTGTGGTTTTGGTTTCTTTGATTGGTTTGCCAAATACTTTGGAATAGTCCAACATATTTCATTGACATCAAAATTTCGAGCTTTATTTTACACATATTACCTCCATATTGAAGTTTGATTAATTAATTTTGCTGCCTAATTTCAAGTTACACAAATCAGTATAATGCCGCGAAAGCCAACAGGCCGGCACCCACTAATGAAGCCTCAGCCTTTCTCCTTCTCACCCTTTGGTCGTTCAGTGGCTCGAGTTGCCTCTGCTTACAAGCTCAAGGGCCAAATGCCTGGCTCCAAATTTCATAGCAAAAATTCCCCCAACACTCCAGGTATTTATTTTTATGAACTTTGCTAAGCTTATTGCTTACGTGAAGTTTCTTGCTCTAATTCTTTGGTATGATCATATTGCACACAATGCATAGTGCTTTTGTTGTTGATTCTTTGTAGATGTGTTTGTGTTGTTCCTAGTTTCAAATGTGTTAACTCCAGGTAATGGATTTGTAAATCATGCTTTGGAAGATGGAAGTGAAAAGTCTGAATCATCCGAGGAAGAAGGGTTTGAAGTAAGCATAATATCAGTATCAATGCACTCACATTTAAATCACCAAAAGTAGTCTCACAAATCTAACCATTCTCACTTCATTCATATTTAATAATATATAATTGTTGTCAGTTTGTTTTCTTTGTTCTTGAAGGGAGTCATCCAGGCAGATTTTTCCTTCTTTGACCCAAAGCCTGATGACTTTCATGGAGTGAAGCCCCTGCTGGGGGCTTATCTTGATGATAAGCAGTGGGATCTAAGTGGTTTTGTGGACCTGATATTGAGTCAAATCACAGTGGGGACAGTTGTTAAAATAGAGAACAATGAAGATGATGGGCTTTACTCTGTTGTCACTGCTCTAAACTTGGGAAGATATAAGGCAAGAAACATACTCTTTAATGCCCAACTCATTGATATTTGGTCGCCTGACATTATTTTTTAGAATCTGCTGCAATGGCCAGCTTCTTTTACATTGTGCCATATGAGTGTTGAAAGGACGATGCCATTACTCAGTTAAAATGGTGGGGCAGTAAATGTTCAACAGTTCAAGTATGTGATGGAAAATCTTCCCTCTCCCCTTTCCCTGTCCTAGTGTGATGTGGTGTTTGTGGCCAGTGATAAGCTGGTGATTGGAATTACTGTAGAACTGAAACCACCATTCGTGTTTGTACTTGTTCAAATACTTTGCTTTTGCTTTTAACAGGATCATAAATGTATAATGGAGATAAAGGAATTCCTGCTTAAAGTGTGCCAGGAGAAGGAGGTATTAGAAAATTTGCGATCATTCGTGGTTGAGCAAGCACATGATGTGGGTCTCTTGGTCACTCAGCGTGTCGCCAATCTTCCTCCTCAGCTTTTGCCACCCCTTTATGATGCTCTCTTTGATGAAGTCTCATGGGCAACAGAAGATGAGGTTAGATGAGAATACAATTCTGATGGGTGAGCTTGATAGATGTTTTACTTGCATGCTCCAAAAATTTTTTGGTTGTTTTTGTTGTTTTCTGGATGCAGCTTGAAATGATTTCCACCAAAAGATTACTTATTTCTCATTTTTCTGCTTTTTGAAGCCAACAGAAGAGCTCCGGAATTCATTCCGCTTTAAGTTCTATCTGCTGGTTAGTAGAATCTATAAGGTATACCCCTGTAGCATTTTACTCTTCTGTTTCCAGTTTTACTATGGGTTTCCTTGGCTCAAAGTTGGCCTTATTATCTTTTCATTTTTGATTTTGGTATGCGAGCCAATAGAATAAGAATGCAAACCAGGAAAGGAGGCCAAATAGCAGTAGTGATGAAGCAATAATATACATTAAGCCGGAAGATGAAATTTTTCACAAGGTACTAGTGCCTTGGTATTCAACATTTGCTGCATCTATTACATTGCAGATTCTGACTTTTTTTCTGCCTGCATCTCAGCTCAGTTCCTGGTCTTTCAGTTTCCCTTTGCGTACTCAGCAGGTTGCAACGCATGAGGCAAGTATTGGTGTTGTCTTACTTTCATGGTAGTTTTAGTAATTAGCTACTCTTAACCAGGTCACTACTATGTTACTCGGGCACTTAAAAGTTCTTTTTACTGAATCTTCCTGGAAAATCTTCTTTCTTGCAAGATATTTTTTCTGCATACCAGTACTGAACATGATGCTTAACTGATTCAGCACTCTTTTTCAACAAAATTTGATTTTTTTTATTTGTTTTTTTAAAATCTTTTTTGGAGGTGGGGTTTGGTTTGTGAGGGTTATGAGAAGTATTATCAGAACCAGATCAGACTGATAGGTTGACCCAAAAAACCAGCTACTTTGGACCCTAAACTGGTCCGGTTTTGTTATTGGATCGTTTGTGTACTCGAACTGCCTTCAAATCGCTGAAGCCGGATGGTTTTTGATCAACCTGTGCAAACCTTTCTCCTTCTCTAGCCTTCAAGCCTCCAGCTGTCCCACCATCGATCCAGTTCCAGGGATCTCAGTCGACCTCATCTCCTTCTCTTAGTCATTTATCCAGGCATCTCAGTCGATCTCATGCCACTCGATCTCACTCTCAGCTCCAATCTCACTCTAAGGCTCTTTTCTAGTCTTTGTCTCTCTGTCCCTCTCTCTCTCTGTTTGCTTCCATTCGAATTTTTTTGTTTTTAGATAATATGTTTGATATTTTTATATGTTTTATTTGACCCACAAACATGTTTGCAAAAGTAACAAACAAAAATTATAAAACATGTTTGATATTTTTGTTTTTATTTGACTCACTGTATATAAAGTCATTTTTTTAGGGTAATTATTATGTTTTATAATTTTTTTTATAATACAACTTGTCCAATCAGTTGATTAAACGGGTTGGTGTCCGGTCCGGTTCTGATAACTATGGTTATGGGTATATTGGGGTTGGGGCAGAGGCTAGATGTGCTTTGTATTCAATGGATTTGCTGCAGGTTTAGTTTCAGGAATGTTTTTCTTAGTATTACTCCTGGGGTTTGTGTGATAATGCCTTTCTATTTTTGAGGGATAGAGCCAAGCATATGCAATTGTAAATATTTATTTACCAAAACGAAAAGATAAAATTGTAATAACCTTTACAAATTGTTATACATCAAATTACGAAGGACTAGTTGTTTGATTACCAGGGCATTCATCTGCTGTTAACGAATAACCATTTATGTATGTGATTTTCTATTTCTTTTGCCCTCAGTTCTTGACACCTAAAACATACAAAAGTAACTGACTTTTTGCAGTAGATGCATTATCTTGAATCTAATTAATGCCACTAGTATTGTCATTTGATGCATCATCGTACCATACTTTACTGCTCTGTTCATGAGATTCATGGCTTATATAGCTGAATGCTCCTCATTTGTGTGACCGATGCCTACTTGTTGCAGCTGAAAAATTATCGGTTAGTAGGTTTAGTCATGGCCATGGACGCAAATAAAGTTTCCACATTCAGGCAGCTGTTGAAATCTTTGATCAATGAAGAATGATGCCAACAGAAGGTCCACTGCTATACTCTGACAGTCACTTGGTTATTTTCTTCTAACACCTTGCAGAAATTTGGCAATAGTATCTTGCTTTTATTTGCTATTTCTCTGGAATGCCACTTTCAATCTGTTCTAATGCTTTCCATAAACAGGCATGCTGTTGGCCTTCAACCTTTTCTTGTAGAGAAGGCACAGAATATTTTCCTCCAGAGCCTGCTTCATCTCTTTAGGTTATTTTGTGGAACTTGTATACTGTAATTTAGTTATTTTGTTAGTGGACATGATTAATTAGGAATATGATAGTAAGCACATTAAGGCTGGATGCCAAAAGATTTTGTTTTGCCTCTGCGTACTGTTAATTTTCCTCAGATATGCCAAAAAATTATTGTTATTTCTGGAACTCTTGTTGAGAATCTTGAGACAACTGGTTATAGTAGAAGATTCCTTTTGGTTGGTAAGGATATCATGGTTTTGAACATATCGAGACTGCATATATTGCAAACATTTCTGATTTGCCTGCTGTTTGACAGGGGGAATGCAAAATCAGTGAAATTCTCTCGCTCTCGCTCTCTCCATGTATGTATCTCTCTTGATTCTCTCGATTTCTCAGTGAAGAGGAGACTAACCCAGGATAGCAGAAAGCCCCATTTCGGTTGTGGTTCTCAATTAGTCAGGTTAGCCTTTGCCCAGATTGGTTTTGTTTATGACAGCCATGGGGTCAGCAATATATGTATAAAGGCATTCCTTATCTCGAGAGAGTCGTTTTGAATGAAATGATATTTGGTTATTTGAGAAGTCTTCACTGACCTGGCTCACGCTTGAGGTATCATAATATTCAAGCTGGCAATGGAGTTCTTAATATTTCCTTGTTTCAATTCTTAGTTTACTAGAATTACATGCTGTTTAGTATGTTAGGATCCAGGATCCCCTTAACTGTCCTTTCTCAAGTTCTCAATGATAGATCACTGTTCATTTATTGATAAAAGACTCACTTATATAGTAAGTCTCAATTGAATTTATGACAATTGATACGAGTCAATGACATTGAGCGATCAAGGGAAAGTGATGTAGATGAGGTGACAACAGGTTAGTTGAAGAGAGAAGATCGTTATGTGTCCAAAGCGCAATGGAAGGTCAAAAAGAGATAATAGAGGTAAAATGGGTCAAACCCCGGATTAAGTAAAAATAGTGCCACTTGATCTGGATCGGTGTAATGATTAAAACTCATCGCTTTGTCACGAGCTTCTTCAGTTTTGGGCTAAATTTCATGAGGGGAATGATGATTATTTATTGGATAATGCTACAATTTTTAGAGATCCTGACCATGGCCGTGAGTCTAGGGATTTTTCAGATGAAGGTTGACTTACTCAGTTTCAATGGTCATTTTCATAGTGAAGATTTTCTTGACCGGTTGGTAGAGGTGGAGAGATTCTTCGATTATATTGACGTTCTAGAAGCAAAGAAGGTGAGGTTGGTGGCTTACAAATTGAAAGGATGGTTTCTGCTTGATGGGAACAAATCCAACTTGCTTGTACCATAGAGGGCCAGTATTTGATCCGTATCTGATTGAAAATGAAGAGATTATTCAGATCAAGTTTTTAACTTCTAGATTGGAAACAGGTCATGTTCTTGTAATATCAAGCTTGCAAACAAGGCATTATATTTGTTCAAGCATATACTGAGGAGTTTGAGTTTTATTCTCGTAATAACCTAAATAAGACTGAGTTCCATAAATTGCTTGGTTTAGTAGGAGTTTGCGTTTAGTCATTCAAGACAAAATTGTTTTTTTTTTTGACAAAAGCCATTCACTTAGTGATAGGAATCAGATTATATTTCGTTATAGTAGGTGTAAGCGTAAGGATTAGGAGTTATTTGTCATTATGCTTTTCAGGGGTTTAGTTGTCTTTATGACTATTTATTTCTTTTAGATTTTTTTTAGGATTTGTGGTCTTCCTATATATATATAGGAGATATGTTATTTGTTTGGGGTAGACTTTGATTATTGATTATTGATATTGAATCTTCTTTCTAAAATTCTCTCTATTCTCATCTCCTTTTTCTTCTTCCCTTGTTATCCCTAATTCTTCCTTAATACGATCTATATCACTTAGCCATGAGGGTAAAGACCTAGTCGGACAGGGTTGAGACCCAAGGATAGAACCAGAGCTCCTTTGATTCATCACGTCCTATAGTGAATCAAGGAAAGTAGATTGTGGGTACTCTAAACCCTTCTCAAGTTAGGGTCTAGAATCCAACAACTGTGGGGCATCTATAAGGGTAGTATCCTCGGGTTTGAGTTATGTTCCAGTAGTCAATGAGGCGCCGAAGAATCCCTATGCTATAATTGTAATCTGGTCAGCCAGGGCTTTGGTCTAATCAATACCCTAAGAGGGGCACAATAATCTGGTTGATGCTGAGGAAGCTGATCGAGATGAGAGCAACTAGGTGGAGGATGAGGTTTTCGAGAATGAGGATAAGGGGATCTCCCTTGTTGTTCATTGACTGATGTACACTCCTAAGATGGAGTAGGACATTCAGAGGCAAAATTTCTTCAAAACCACATGTACAATGAACTAGAGGGTTTTTCAATTGATTACTGGTGGCTATAGCAGTGAGAATATTGTCTTGGGAGATGGTTGACTAGCTAGTTACGGACTGAAAACACCCTTCTCCTTATACTATCTGGTGGATTAAGAACGTTGACGAAACTACGGTAATAGAACCGTATTTTATCCTACTTTTCAATTGGCAAGCATAAAGATGATATTGTGTGTAATATTGTGGTCATGGATGTGTGCCACATTCTGTTGGGAAGACCATGACAGTATGACCCAAATGTTGCTTATAGTAAGAGAGTACTTCCGTAGCACCCCAGGCTAAGGCGGTCCTTTTTTTGTTGTCCCTACCAGTGACGAGAATGTGAAGAATAGTGAAGTATATGCGCAGGTCATGAAGGGTGAAGAGGAGCAGAAAGTCGAGTCTAAACCAGTCCCCAACTTGTTGATGTCGTTGTTAGTCGAATTTCAGGGTGTCATGCCGGAGGAGTTACCAGATGGATTTCCCCCTCTGAGATACATTCTACATCATATTGATTTGGTGCTTAAAGCTAGTTTGCCAAACCTGTCCCATTATTAGATTAGTCCCAAGGAGTTCAAGATATTTCAGAGTCAAGTTGATGCATTGTTGTGAAAAGAGCAGATTAGGATGAGATAAGCCCTTGTGTTGTTCTTACTCTACTCACTCCTACGAAGGATGGTAGTTGGAGGATGTGTCTAAATAGTTGAACAATTAATAAGATCAGTATGAAGAATCGATATCCTATACCCTAATTGGATGATATGTTAGTCATGTTGAAGGGTGCAAAGGTATTCTAAAGCTTGATTTGAAGAATGAGTATCACTAGATCCGTATTCATCGAGGTGATGAGTGGAAAACGACCTTTAAGACAAGGAAAGGGTTGTATAAGTGGTTGCTTATGCATTTTGATTTGTCTAATGCCCCCAACACTTTCATAAGGGTTATGAATCAACTGTTTAAGCCTTTTGAAAAATTGGTGGTTATTTACTTTGATGATATTCTAATTTACAGCATCAATGAAATTGACCATTTGCAAGATTTGAGGGCAGTTTTTTCAACTTCGCAGGAGAATAGCCTGTTTGTGGAACTTCAAGAAGTGTTGCTTTATGACAGATAGTGTGGTGTTCTTGGGGTATGTAGCCAGTGCTACGGGAATTTCAATGGATGTTGAGAATTTAGGAGTTGCCTACACCATGGATAGTTAGTGAGCTTTACAACTTTCATGGCCTTGCAACCTCTAATCGAAGGTTTGTGAGGAATTTCAACGCTATTGCGACACCTTTTTACTTATTGTCTAAAACATAAACAGTTGCAGTGGACTAATGAGGCAACAAAGAGTTTTTAGCTATTTGAGGAGAAGCTTACCACATCTCTTGTGCTAGTGTTGCCTAGTATCAAGAAGTTATGTAACGTGGATTGTGACGTCTTTTGCACTGGTATTGAAGCAGTGTTGTCACAGGAGGCGAGGTAGAAGTGGTTTACCTATGAACAGGAATTCCATGTGATTGTCAGAGCTTTACAACACTAGTAAAATAACTTGATTCAGAGGGTGTTCATTCTGAATACAGACCACTATGCAGTAATGTACCTCAACAGTTCTACTATTCCCAATCAAATGCATACTCGATTGTTTGATGTAATTCAAAACTTTACTTTCACCCTTGAGCATAAGTTAGGCTAGTTGAACACGCAGGAGGATGCACTAATCCAACGTATTATGTTATTGACCATTGTTTGTAGTGAGGTGATTGACTTTGACTATTTGAAGGAATTGTATGCATTGTACGAGAACTTCAAGCAAGTTTGGTCTCAGTACTCAGATACACATGGTGTCTTGGGGATTTCTCCGAGGATCCTTATGTGAGCATCTCAGTTGGGAGCTTCGTAGTGGTGGCCTAGAGAGACACATGGGTAGGGATAGAAGTATTGTTTTGGTGGAAGAGCGTTATTTTTGGCCTAAACTAAAGAGGGATGTGGAGAAGTTTGTTAAGCAATGCTACACGTGTCAGATTGCTAACAAATAGCCACAGAATACTGGGCTCTACATTTCTCTACCCTTTCCATACGTATCTTGGGAGGATTTGTCCATGGACTTTGTGTTGAGTCTTCCACGAACTCAACGGGGTATAGATTCTAAGAGAAATTGTAAAAAGGTACATAAAATTAGACTTAATTATTAAAAAGTACACAACTTTTAATGTTAGGTCATTAAGTCCTTATTTTAAGAATTTAATTGTGTTGAAGTACACAATTTGCCTTTTTTATGATTTTTTTTGACATATTTGCCCTCCCTTAAATTATCCACATTTCTTTTGGTAGTTAATTTGATTTTCCCCACCTTTATTTATCTCCACAAACTGTTTATCTCTCTCCAATATATGTATTAATATCTATATGAGTTACAATAAAACAAAAACTTAAAATTTAGGAAAATCAAAACCTATAATAAATCTTCTCCATTTTTTAGGGATATATATAATACTACGAAGTCAAACTATGAAACTTAGTTTCTATTATTCTTATACTGTTTTGATATACTTTAAAGGGTTTATGAAATTAAAGTGTATTAAAACAATGTAGGAGTAATAGAAACTAGGGTTTAAGAATTACACAAATTTAAAGTGTATCAATACAATGTATCACAATAGTGTAAGAGTAATAAAAACTAGGTTTCATAGTATGATTTCGCAGTATTATATATATGTGTGTGTGTGTGTATATATATATATATATATATATATATAAACATTAACATATATAGATTCGTAATCAAATTAAATTTAAAATCAAAATTTTTTAATTTTAGTACTTTCTAAGATAAGATAATTAAAATTTTTTTATTTTAGTTGTCAAATTTCAAAAGTTGCCAAAAACTTTGAAACATCTTTAAAAAAATGGAGAAAATTTATTATGAATTTTGATTTTCCTAAATTTTAGGTTTTTGTTTTATTAGAACTCATATATATATATAGTTGTGCGATTATGGAGACTTTGCACCATATCCTTTAGTGGGTATTTTTTATGTAGACTGTTAGATCACGATCTAACGGCTACTAGGCAAAGTTGCTCAAAATTAATTATACAGACCTACCAAATTTAGTTCTTCACTAAATAGGAAATATTTATGACATATTTTTTGTGATCTAGTCCTATTAGGAAAGTCTTAAAAGTTAATAATAAAAAAAAAAAAATTGACTCCTCTTAAATATTAACGAATTGATCCAATGACCCAGATGATTTTTATATTTACCAATCTAATTTATTATACCTATTTAGGTTAAAAAAATAAAAATAAACATAACGGCTTATAGATATTTATAATTCTTTTATCAAATTACTAAATAACCAATCAACTAATCAATTGATTAATTAAACTATTCAAAAGACTTAAAGCCATGGTGGGCATGCATATAGCAAGGGTGGAATCATGATGTAAGAAATTATCTTAGCTAATGGATAGACGGCAAGGTAGCACAAACACTACACTGCTAGTTTGCTACGAACTTTTGTGCCTTGCTAGGAGACAGCCATAGTTTTTTTAACCCTAATAGATATAATAAATTAGATGGATAAAAATAAAAATCATCCGGTTATTAGGTTGATCCATTAATATTTAAAAAGAGTTAGAATTTTTTTATATTATTAATCTTGAAGACTTTCCTAATACGACTAGATCACAATAAATATGTCATAGATATTTCCTATTTAGTGAAGAACTAAATTTGGTATTTTTTGATAATTAATTTTGAGTATCTTTGTCTAATGACCGTTAGATCATGATCTAATGGTCTACATAAAAAGTATCTATTAAAAGTTATGGTGCAAAGTCTCCATGATCGCGTTACTATATATATATATATATATTAAGATTAATATTTCATCTTTTTACTTTCAACATTTTATATATATATATAGATGTTGGATTTTTTTATCTAAAATCTTGTTTATAAAGTTTATAGTTGAGGCAAAATAGATCTGACTTAAAATCAAGTGAGGCCAGTGCTAGTTGATTTGGATTAGGCCAACGATCAAAATTCATCACTTTGTCATGAATTCTTTTAGTGTTGGGTCAAATTCCATTGTTTAGGCCTTCACATCCCTATTTTTGTTGTTTTAGTAAATAATTCAAATAATAATAATAAATAATAGAAAATTTCGAATTCAGTGTCATCTGTTTTTTTAGACTTTAGATGACACATGCTTTTACGTTAATTAATCGGATTGTAATTTTTATCTTGGTAAATTTTGTATAGTTAAAAATATTACTTCTATTATGGGGACACATGGGGACGATTCGAGTTTTGACTGCTCCTATATATATTGCACTATGTAATACGAGTTGTTCAGTCAAAAATATAGTTTATTTGAGAGTTTTTCTCTTTCTTTTATCTGTGAATGGATTCAAAGTGTGCATGTGTTACTTTACTTTGCACTTAAAAACGGTAATTTCTTTGTGTTTTCTTGTTTATTGTTGTGTTAGAACATATATCAAAGAGATCCAAATCTCCATGTTTGAACGTTGCTTATCCTAGAACTTCTTGGTTTTGAATACTTCCCATAATTTCACTTAAAACTTTTCTTCAACTATGTATAAAGGTTAAATTTTACCATATTACTCTCTCAAGGTAGGAGAGTTTTTCTTTCTTTCCTCCTCATTCTTCTTCTTCAATTCCCAAACTCCACTTCTTGAACTTTGGTTAACATCTTATATTTCCCCTTAAGCATTTAAAATTTTCTATAGTGGTAAATATTTTTTTTAGTTAGTTAATGGTCCACTTGTTTCCTTACTTAGTAAAACAAATATTTTATTTTTTTGGCTAAATAGCAGAGATTTGAAATGTCCTAACCATTATATATATTGTCACAATATCATTATCCCCTATTTTTTGTAATTCTTGATTTTTTTTTGATAAATTAGTAGCTCGTAACTTAGTAAATACGACCATAAAAAAACGATACATATACTAAACTAAAAGGGAATTTTTCAACAAGATGAAGGATTATCTCAACTAGACTTCACAACAAGATACGTCTCTTAGATTGTCAACTTAGTCAGTTATAAATGATTATGGGGTTTTCTAACGTTGTCATATGGTCCACTTTAATATATGATTCAGTTAAAATGTATTATGAAGAAGTTTTTGTGTCTCTTTTAGTTCATATTTTGTTGAAGCTAAGCTAATAGTATTTCTAATTTCATGTAGTAATTAAATCTTGGATCTTAATATATTTCAAGTGATTCAACTTAGGATTTTTTTTTTAATAACAAAATAGCATCCAGTTTAGTCTTCATTAAACACAGGTTTGGAAAAATTTCTTATACTAGTTAGTTAGTATTGTATTCATGTTTGTGCCCTCTCTAAGTTTGACTGACCGTTGAGTCTCGGCTTCGCCTCTGGTTATAGCACCATAATTTTCATATTTCATAATGCTAACATAGTGAAATACGCAATGGGTATTGTAAGTGGCAGGTGGCCTTACTGCCATAATCAATTGAGATTCAGTTCTTTGTCGCTTCTATTTAGTTAAAGAAAAATAAAAATAATAACTTAGTGACAAACATAGTTCATCAGTGTTTATTATATAAACCATAGTTGTTTTGCTTATGATCCATTTGTTCTATGGATGTTGCAGTTATATGTGATGTGTATGGGTGTGTGTAGGTGTTGTGTAGAGATAATGTGCTTGTATACAAACAATTCATAATATGATTGATTGACTTAATAAGTTTCTTAGGACAATGCAGTCTTTTTCTTGTACTTCCCTTCTTGTTGAATTGAAAGAACTGCAAAATGAAAACCAACATGTAACAACTATTGTCCAATACCCTAACAGAAGGAGCAAGAAGTAGCATCATTTTTGCTGAAATTGTGTTAATGGTGCCAATATGCATGCTTTTTTTCTACCATTGTTAGTTAAGAACCCTACGCCATCGGACACATGAAAAAGCTTTCAGGACCATCAGAACAGCAATACTTCGGCATAAAAGATAATATCGGGGGCATCATGTTGACGTATGAATTATTGTCTTGATCTTCGGACATTTTCTTAGTCATTATAATCTTTCTAACATTTCTGCACGTGCATGAAGCATGGCGCATTGTTTATGTGTTAGCATTGATTGTAAATATAATTGTGAATATAATCTGAATTTAATGACTATAAAGTTGCCATTTTTGCAGATGCACCAACACAATTTTCTGCCCAATGCACAACATTGATGCTTTCAGATACAATCTGGCAAATTTTACTAGTTTTATCAAAGAGTTTATATCTTTGCATAGCAAACTGGAAAAATCTACACTACTAA